GCAGCGCTCCCCGGGGCCTGCAGGCCGAGGGCACCCTCTCCTTCGTGGAGGGGTCTCGCTAAGTCGGTCCCTCCGCCTTTCCCCGAGCGGGGCTGGCTCCTTTTGGCCGAAGGTACCCGCTCCGTGTCGGGCCTTGGATGCCCCCAGTCCCTCTCTGTCCTGCGGCGACACACGGCTCCTGTGCCGCCGTGCCGTCCCTACCCGTCCAGGAGGGCAGAACGGGGCTTTGTCAACAACCACAAATAAGCAGATAACGGCTAAACCTATAGGAACTGTGTTCTTGGGGCACGAAAGCCTTTTTGGGGCACTGACCTTCTCGGCTGGGCTGGCCCAGGGCGTCCGGGTGCTCATGGACGGGCGGGGAGGCGGGTTACTCACACATCCACCTCTTGTGACCGCGGTGTCGCCTGGCACTGGCTAGACATCTCCAGAGGGTACTCCGAAGTCCTCTTGCCAGACAATATTTATGGTGTGGAGTGGAAAATACGACTTTCTCACAGAGGTGACTTACGGTAGGAAAAAACACCTGCGGGGCCCAGCTGGCACAGAGACCCGTCCCACAGGAGTCGCCATCGGGGCACACGCGCAGAGCTGGGATGGCGTTAACGACACCCTGAAAACATCTGTCGGGCGAGTCGGTGCTCTGGTTTAGACCCCTGCCGCGTCGCGGGGCCGGCTGGGCCAAGGGTCTTCCCGGCTGCCCCCCTGCTGCCAGGTCCCGTCTCTGCTCCCAGGGCTGCTCCTGGGCCCGCTTCGGCGCAGAGCCCGGTGTCCCCGCCGATGCCAAGGTGCACGCGGAGCTGGCCGCTCTGGCAGGGAAGCGGCTTTGGGGACAAATGCCGCCTCCGTGGGCGAGCGCCGGAGGCTGTAAAGCCAGCTGCAAGGTGGGGATGGTGCATCTACCTTCTCCCCGTGGCAGCGGTGGGGATAATAGCATTTGCCTCTTTTTGTGCCACATCTGGTCTCTAACTGCACAGCTGCGAGCAATGCTGCTTTCTCTCACCTCCCTTACAGAGCATAAAAGCAGGATTGAAGTGTCAACATTTGTTTTCAATTAACTTGTGGAAACAAACACAGCTATTGTTAAAGCCAGACACTTCCTGCTGGAAGCTGCCATTTCATAAACTTAGTACTCGTGAGGCAAAAGGGTTTTGTTGAGGCAAAAACCCCACATTATTTTTTATTTTAAAAACCCTTTTCAGATAAAGGCAGCGATAAGATTCAAAGTTGGGGAGAGAGAGATGAAAGATGTATTTGCTGCAGGAGTCTTGCAGACTTACAGCAATATTTTATGTGCCAAGGGTATGGTGGGATTTCAGTACGTGCTACTTAGTGACAGGGTTTACAGCAGGGATGAGGGAAACCATGTTCAGATTTGCCTGGGAGCAACAGACAGAGGCCCAATAAGGTGGCCACGGCCCACGGGCCCTCTCCGCTGCTGCCTCCCCTTCTCCAGGCAGGGCCACCGCAGCTGGGCTCAGCATCGCTGATCTTGGGACAGCAGAGAGATTCAGGTGGAAGCGGTGAGTTTAATGGGATGAGCCCAAAACCCAGGAAGCCCCAACCTGACTTACGCTTGTTGCTCTGCTCTGCCACAGGTTTCTCCTGCGCGTTGCTGGCTGCT